GTCCCCCCCTTCCTTCTTCTTCCCCCAGCTTTATATGCTGAACATGACGTCACATAGTATGGAATGTCCCTTTGGCCAGTTTGGCTGTGCCCCCTCCCAGCTTCTTGTGCACCCCCAGCCTTCTCAGTCAGTAGAGCATGGGAAGCTGAAAAGTCCTTGACTAGTGTAAGCACTACCTAGCAACAGCTAAAACATGGGTGCGTTATCAACATTGTTCTCATCCTAAATCCAAAACACAGCACTGTACCAGCTACTAGGAAGGAAATTAACTCTATTCCAGCCAAAACCAGGACAAATACTGTGGAGGATGGTTTGTTCATCAGTAATATATCCAGGCTGTAGCACTTAAAATATAATAAAATGTTGATAATATTTTCTAGAAAACTAACACAGTCATTCATAGTTCAACTATTTGTTGAACATTTTTTGTGTGTGGGTAACTACAGTCAGTTCCCCCTTCATTTTTTGCCAGAGTGATCATATCTTATTAGTATAAGTGTAGGAATGACTGCTTTTTGGTAGCAAACTCATGTTTTACTGCACATAATCAATGAAATGCCTAAAACCACCTATAGCATACTGTGTTTCTGGTGCTATTTTCATGTTTTTTCCATATGGAAAAAAGGCTTACGTGATTATGCTGTATATATGTACTTGTTTGTCCTACTTAGCAACTTTTGAACACAAATCTGACCATGACACAGTAATCTAAGAATTATAAATTCCTAGAATCTTCAAGAAAATATGGTCAATCAGTAGAAGGGAAGGGCACCATGAGTCTCCTGGAGGGAAAGACAGCAGATCAGCGCACTTCTAGACATCAGAAAATCTGCACAGAAAATTGCTCTCAAGACAAAAATCCATAGGAATCCAGAGTTCATTGGTTCTACTGTTCACTTATTTTTAATTGCTCTAGTCGGTCCTTAGAATTATTTTCTTAAGCGATTCATATTGTATGAAATTTAAGCAACAGATTTCATTGGGGCACTCCCTTGGCAGGTCTCAGTGTGCATGAGGCTGTACAGGAAGTTTTCTGTAGTCTCTATAAATACCCAGTCAAACAGACAGTAATCTCTCTCTCTCTCTCTCCAGATGTCTATTGCATGCCTTCGATACACGCTCCTAATCAGTTTACGAGCTTTCCTTGACCTACGCTTCTCTTCCTAATGCTGATCCGACTATGGCTGTCCTCAAAGTAAAATTCACCAAAACTAAGAGGGACAAATTGGCTCAGATCTTATGGATCCTCAACTGGGTTTCTGTGGTGAGCGGGATCATTCTCTTCAGTCTTGGCCTCTTTCTGAAAATAGAGATCAAGAAGCGCAACGAAGTGATGGCAAAAGGGGATGTTAACTCTGTCCCCAACATGCTGATCTCCGTAGGAGTCATAGCATGTATCATCAACTTTCTGGGTGGCAAAATCTGCTATGACTGCTCAGATGCCAACAAGTTCTCTCGATGGAAACTAGTTATGCTCCCATACGTCGTATGTACCTTCTGTTTTACCTTCTGTATCCTGGTGGGTGCTCTCATGTGCTATACCATGAGGAACGAGCTGGAAGAGTCTCTCTATCTGGGATTGAGGGATGCTGTTAAGTTCTATAAGGACACGGACATACCTGGACGATGTTTCTTAAAGAAAACAGTAGATTTGTTACAAATTGGATTCCAATGCTGTGGAAACAATGGCTTTAGAGACTGGTTTGAAATTCAGTGGGTATCTGCTCGTTATCTGAATATGGCTTCCAAGGAAGTTCTGGAGTAAGTATTTACTAGTCATAACAAAAAATTCTAGGAAAAAGCCTCGTTCAAGAAGAATTTGTATTGAACAGAAAGTAAGTAACAGTAGTGTCAAAAGATCTTGAGATGCATTGACATTAAAGAGAATATGGCAAAACTGCTTGTTCTCTGCCATCAGCCAAAAATTCTGGCAGTGTTTTTCCTCCTTATTAAAACAGCATCTTGTGGCTAGAAGGCTTCTCTCAAAGGTCATTCCAAATAACTCTGGTAATGGGTCTAACTCAAGAAGACGTAACATTTCTTTGGTCATAGGCATGTTCACAAATACCCTCGTGGTTTAACTAATGTAGTAACCTTTAGTGGATAACAGTGGGAATAACACTTTGTCTAGACCATATGCTCCCTCTAAAAAACAAAAATACTGAAGTACTCAAGCCAAAAATCATCCTTCTATTTATATTTAATCATTCTGGGGTTCTAGCATACACCTCACAAGGCCAAGTAGATACTAATTTCTGCTGGACTTTTGTCTCAATCAAAAAACTGTAGAATGACCACATTACTCACAAAATATGCTAACTACATGCACAAAGTTGCCTTTTGCTAACATTTTAGGGATGCTAAGCAAAGCAAAGATGTACCTTTCCTTTTTTAATGTGTGAATTAGCTACCTCAAAATTTCAATTATAGTGAGCTGACGGTGGAAAGAAAAAAGGATTGTACTGTCAATACATTGCACAGTCAATCCTAAACACTGAACGATCTTTCTCCTTCAAGACTTTGCAAATCCAGGTTCAAATCTATACATTCATATGTGAGAAACTGCCACCACCACATACGCTGCATAAAAAAGGAGGAGAAAAACCCTTGAATTTTTTTGGTGGTGGTGATGTTCACATGATGTAGCAACTGTGAAGTTATATGCTCAAAAAGAAGAGTCTGGTAATTCTTACAGACAATAGCAAAGGTAACAATAAAAAAATTTAAAAAGTAGACAATCCAATATGTAATAATTCTTCTAAAGCTGAAAAAAAGTCTTCACTGATGAGGGCGAAGTAGCTATATATTCCTGGGAAAGACAAACACAAAAAGCTTGACTGGCATTTGTCAAGTGTTCTGTTTTGCTGCACGCAAAAATCAGTGACAATAAACCCAGATGAAGGAAGGCCAAAGATCTTATTTTCACAGAATTTGCAACTTGAAACCACCATTATAGCAAAGCATATATACAGAGCTGCAAATATACCGGAGGACAGGACCTAGGCGAATACAGACAAGAGGGCGTCAGCATGCATAAGGCAGTTGGCTGTGGAAATAAAGCAAGCTTTAGAACAAGTGTTCTCGAGAGAGAAGTTGGACAGCAACAGTGACACAAAGCAGACTGGCCCAAGAGGTGTTTTAAATCCTGGTTCTACACTGAAAAGTGACATGACAACAAAGATGGTCCACAGGAACTTAAGAGCAGTATCTTACTGTGGGGACAAAAGTAAAATATACTGCCTTTTATTTCTGTGAGACATGCAGAAACAGTAATGTTTTACCCAGGGTCTTAGCTAAACTCTGTTTTCTTCTGCAGGATCACCTGTGCTCTGCCATTATTTTGACAACACACTGTCAGTTAATTTTTGCCCCATGTAGGCAGAAGATGCCAGTGAAATGTGTGTGAGGGAAGTAATTACACTGCAGAATTTCTTTTACTGTATATAAGTTGGATAATTCCATCTTGATTGCTAGAATCCAAGTTGGTGCTGTATAACCAAATTACACTATGATTTCCAAAAATCTGGTAGTGAAACATTTGATACGAAATTGTTAGAAGCAGAGTCCAGCTGGTAATGTTCAGAAAGGATGGAGAAGGAACCAAATATTTTTCTTGGTTTCATCTTGTACTGTATGTCAATTAGTACTTGGTAGATTAAGAGGCAAAGCAGTTGAGAACTGACACACTGTCAACTCACATGTAACCTTTGCAAAACTGAACTTTACACCTTCCTTCATAACCCTCTTCCCTCCCCCCTCTTCTGTATCTCCATTGCCAACACCACCATGTGACAAGAAATGGAGAGAATCAATGGGAACGGTAGGAGGATGAGGCAGGTTACAGCGGTACAATCCTATCGTTGCTTTGGTTGGGTAAAAATAATGTTTTTATAGTCTCAAAAGCAAGTTTTGCTTTACAATACCACAACAATTTTGAATTGCAACAACAAATAGCAGCGAATGTCTCTCTCCCTCAGCTGTTACCGAGGTCTTCCCTTCTAACAGTGCCAAGATACATCATTCTTCAGTTTGCCACTAGTAGGGGAAACACGATGGCAGGGGGACATAACCCAAGTCTGGAAACTGCTATTGTTGGCAGTAGAAAGAAGATTCCTCTTTATAACATGTGGCAGGAAGGAAAAAAAATAATTAAATTGATGCTTGGGATCAAAAGAAAAGCTTAACACCTAGTTTAAGAGATTGTATTTTAACTGTTTTAGATGCTGTACTATATTTGGGTCATGTCACTGAAATATACAGGGCATTTTGCTGGCCCAGGTAAAAGCTTCTCTTTCACTATGTGCCGGCCTTCCCCTCCTCCCTCTGTGAGGTTTCTTTTCTCCTCCCACAATCGAGCCTTCCGTTTTGTACCTCTCTGGCTCCCTTCCCTGTTTCCCTCCCAGTGAGTGGTTTTGCCTATGCCAGTTACACGGCTTGCACACCTAAGTCTGGTTTCAGTGAATTATTTGGGTTCTTTTGCATTGGTTTCGTTCTGTTGCCATTACCAGGAATATGATGGCCACAAAGTGAAGAGCTAAACTTTAAAATGGAGAGGAATTCATGCCTAACCCCCTCCTACGTGGGAAATGGCAGATGAACTTCCTGACTTACTTGGAAAGATCTTTGAGGAGGACATTTTTGACAGAATGCTAAACAAAACAAAACACACCACCACCACACACACACACACAAAAAAAAAAGGAAGGCGGTTGTATTTAGCAGGCCCACAGCAATAAAAAGAAGGCAATTATTCTGCCATCCCAGCACAGCCACAAATACTGAGCTTCCTAGCAGCTTATGTTTCTTTTGAAGGATACATATAGTCCCAAAATGCCAGAAGAACACTGGACCACAGTTTCTGCTTCTTCTGTACACCTGATGAGCTTCTTGTGATGAATTCCTTCCCTTTAGTTTAGATCAGCTGTAGTGGAACAGGAAAATATGGTTTATAAACATTAATAAATGAGGATAAGTTTTGGAAAATACTAAAGATTCTACTATTAGCAAATGGTAAAAGCTGGATATCTAAGAGAAAGTTGTCTTTCATGTATTCTGGCTCCCTAACAAAGGCTAAAGGGCATGGGCTTCATTAAAACAGGCCATGGTTCTCACCTGGGGGGCTGTCTCAGGAAATAATCCTTTTGCAATGAGCATGAAAACAGATACATGCTTAGAGGCTACTTCCCCAAAGTGTGAGAGCACTTCTCAACACCTTCTATACTCTCCAATTTCTGGAAAAATCTATTTCTCTGCAGAGCCTGCTTGGAAACAGAAGTCCTCACAAGGACACACTAGCGCTAGCTAAAGAGCAGGTAATACAAGGAAAATGGATGTCAAGGATTCATTTAACTGCTTCAGAAACTCTTGATTTATCTGAGGCTGTGTTCTCTTTCCATCCCATGATTTTTTTCTCCCTCCTATTTCTTTAACTTTCTTCTTTTCCCACTTGCTTTTTTTCCTGATCTTATAGAGGAGGGAAAGGAATAATTTTTAGCAATAAATACAAACAGTTTCAAAAGTTACAATAAGTATAGTCACAAGAAGTAGAAACTCCCTTGTGAATTAGTCTCAAAACTTGTGCCGAACCAGCCATTGCACATGGGTACAATGGTGAAATGCCAGCGGATAATTCCCAGTGGTTCCTGTGGCACGCAAAGCTTGTATTAGGTTCTCTCTTAAGGAACGCTTGTTTTGAAAATCAATCCAAAAGTAGTGAAACACAGGATTTCTAGGGCCATAACTTCCATTAGAGTTCCACCAAGATAAACAAGTTTAGAAATTCTTTAGTATTTTCAGCGCAAAGATACCTAAAAAAGCAACATCTCCGTGAACACTGAATCCACATCTTGCACGCACAGTACCAAGAACCACGTGAGATACTGTGCTGATACCACACTTAAGAAATACAGCAAATGAGAAATTTAGTTTTCCTGCAGTAAGCAACTTTTCCAGTTGGAAATACGTTCCCATTTTCCTTTTGTTACATTGGAGAGGCCGACATCGCAGCAGACTTGCGTTATATCTTTTTATAGAAATCACAGACACTATCTGCTGCTGATCGCAGATTTGTAATGCCCAAAATTTCTGTCCTGTTGCAGCCGTCTAAAGAGCAACGTTGATGGAAAGTTCTTGGTGGATGGAGTACCCTTCAGCTGCTGCAACCCAAGCTCCCCACGGCCCTGTATCCAGTACCAGCTGACAAACAACAGCGCTCACTACAACTACGATTTTCTGACAGAGGAGCTCAATATCTGGGTGAAGGGGTGCAGAGAGGCCCTGCTGGATTACTACACAGCTATTATGAGATCCATTGGTATCACAGCATTGTTTATTTGGTTGTTTGAGGTAAGTCTCATAAAAATGGTCTGTGTCAGATTAATCAGAGACTTCCTGCTCTCTAGGATGGGAAACAACTACGGTGTAACATACGAGAAGTGCCGCAGTATCTAACATAAAGTCCACAAGCACTTCAGGAATGTTGCAGGACTTCCTTTAGTACAGACAGCTTTCTCAAAGTCCCCAGAGCAGAAGCAAATCTCACTGAAGATGAGAACTATTAGAAATTATATATATAATTCTGTATATTTACAGAGCTTTTTCAACAGACTATGGCATATTCCCTTCCCTGAAGCATTTATGGGATCAGATACAGGATGATACATGCAGTGACACAACTGCAAGGAAATTAGGTGAGAAGGTCTGAGGATTGCTTTAAGCCAGTTTTAACAAAGAGTATACAAAATGTGAGCAGGCCTTTGGCTGAATACGTTAATTTTATTTATAGTAAAAATTGAGCATAAGGATTAATATCTCAAAGCCTCCTTTTTACATTACATAGCTTCACCATATAGACAGTACTTGCAAACATGGCATACCTTTTTAGATGTAGATTAGGCTGCTTAGAATGCAGTCAAAATAAGCATATCACAGGCAAGCATAGACACCTGCAAAGATGCAGTCTTTCTGCTGGTGTCTGTAAAGAAAGTTGCCTGGATGTTGTCATCCACAGGTAAAGGACCCCCCAATGGCATAGGCTAAAATACGGTTTTCTTCCCTCTTTATAAAGTTTTAGTTTTCTGATTATTGCTCTATTGCGTAAATATTAGCACTATAATTAAAATCATTCACAACAGTCCTCAAGCAGTGCTAGATGGGGTGGTGGTGCCAGAAACAACGGGCCTTTGGCAGCCCATGAAAAAGCTGTGAGCCAGCTCTCCGTGCTCCCTTAAATGCTGGCAAGCTGGGCACACTGATCTCAATCCCAACAGAACTATGAAAATGGGGCTTTTTTCCTAAACTTACAGTTGAGCCTCTAACTATAGGCCATCCTTCTTAATTTTAATGCATTGGCATGTAGGACACATATGGCTTACATATGAATGATTAAACTCCTTGGAGGAAATACCGCTTTAATCAAGGTCAGTGGAAAAAAATCCATAGAAAGTAACAGACTACAATTTAATTTTTTTTTCCCAGTGACTGATGGTTCCATTAATTGATCATCCATTCTACATCAATTAGTTGTAGTCTCTGAGGCTGCAGTGTTCCCAAGTAATTCTAGGTATTTATGTGCTAATAACATGCAAGTGGGAATGCTACCTGAAGAATGGAGAGAGAATCAACCAATCTCTCCCTGGTATTTTTCTTTCTAAAAAACGTAATTAATTGGGAGAGTGGTTAGATATATTGCTGGGATAAAGAATTTATCTGCTTTACTCACTATTAATTATTAGGCCTGAAAATGCACAAGTCGGAAAGCTGACTTAGTGGTAGGATTGAGGCTGTAATTTAAACTCCCTGTTTAACCATTAACTGTTTCTTACAGCTCTCTGTACTTATTGGTGTCCAGTACCTACAAACAGCAATGAAGAATGTCCTTCTGCTAGGAGATTTGGAGGGCGAATCAGATGGTTGGTTACTAGAAAACAGCTTTGTGGAAACTGCCAAATACAACATCAATATCATTAAGAACCTCGGCAAAGCCAATCACATCTCTACTGTCTCAGGCATGAATGACCCCAACATTGATGTTCAAAACACAAACTGTGGCAAACCCAATGTTACAACAAAATCTATGCCGGCAGCTAGCTAGGCAAGTCTTCAAAGAAATGACATCGCAAGTGTAGCTTTGACATATTACAGTCTTACAGTTATTTTCACTGGTGGGGAAAAAAAAGGTAGGGAAACTAATAAGACAATAGAACAAACCACAGACTGGTGACAGCTCCAGAAATGCTGATACTTCTTTGGCTGGATGTATTTTACTCATTCTTGTGAAATCCCCGATTTTCAACACCGCACAAAACAAACTTTTGGAATTTTCCCCACTTTCTCTCCCTTGCTTACATACTTCTGTCACGGTCTGGATACGTCAGAATTATCATTATGCACGAGCAAATGTTCCAGATAGGATGGGTCTACATCTACTAACATACAGATTGGTCTACTGTGTACCAAAGTTTGTCATTACTGTCATTACATCTATAGAAATCCCAGCAGCAGGGTGTCGTGGTTTAACCTCAGCCAGCAACTAAGCACCACACAGCCGCTCGCTCACTCC